TCTTTTTTTATTAGTTTCTCTATCTAAAAACTACTATTTTTTATTAACGTTATCATATGTCATGTCAACGGCATCACAACAGCACAATATTCTGTTCAACGCGAGTTAATTTCAAAGTATATTCTAGAAAATCTGTTATTGGCCGTAGTTATTGATCTCTATGTATATTTTAATTGTAATAGGCTATTTATTGATTTTCTTTAATAAATGAAATAATAATAAAAAAGAAGTTCATTTCATTGTAAAAGCAGGAGTGTTTTATTTCTTGATGTATCTGCCAATGGCTGCAAAAAAAGAAGACTTAACACATTAATTTCTAAATATTTGTCTAAGTATTTTAAAGAAATCTATACATTTATTTATATTAGTTATATATTTTTTGAAATGTATGCAGTTTAATTATTTATTTTAGTTATATTGACCTTTTTTTATATTTTTAATGGCGGCGCCCACATACAGCAGTTGGGTTAGCATAACAGGACGCGACTTGCGCGAGAGCGACATAACGATCAAGATCTCTATGCGAGAATAGCGTATCTCGCGCTTTATGTCGCTTTCGCGCAAGTCGCGTCCTGTTGTACTAGTCCTACAGGATCCATGTTGATACTATTTTAATTTGTTACCCAGGGTAATATAATATAGATAAATAATATAATAAAATCACATAATATGATCATACATTAAACGTGCTTTTAATTAAAATCATAAAAACAATACGAACTACATACACGAAACAAATTATGCAAATGTGAAAATTTATAACTGTCCTATTTAAGCATAAAAATATTAACGACTAATTTTGTTCATAGAATCTTTAAACGTCTCTCCTGAAAAGTTGTCATTTTACAGAGGTGGCCTTATTACACCAGGGTAGGTACGATTTTAAGGTCGCTGTGGATGAGAGCATTAAATACGTTGACTTTACGTCAGGATAGAATCGACATCATCGATTTTATTGATTACATTTGCCATGGTTGTCAGGATCGGACTTGCTGATACGGTCATACGTAGCTTCTCGGCTTATAGCTTTTTGTACATTATTCTTCATTGTACTAAGAATTGAATTGGTGAAAGTGCTGACACACACGATGTGATCATAGATTTTTTTTAATCCTATCCTAATAGCAAAAATGCACTGCCAACCATTATTACTTGGAGAGTACCTTAAGTACCTTAAGGGCGCCTCCAAATTAGTAGTTTGGAGCGGCAGCCGCGCGTCTGTAGCGCTTCAGTAATTTTTGTTCACAAAGGGCGTGTTACCATTGTGTCGTAACGTGTTATTTATCTTTGGAGGACTGTCGCGTTTAGCCTGTTCCAATATTACGACTATCTGTCGTGACTGTGTCGTGGACGTTTGTTTTATCTTTGAACGACTGTCGTGTCTAGCTGTTCCCACTGGATCGTGACGACTATTTATCAGTACACGGCAGCCGCCTTGTCGTTTGGATCAGGACAAACAGGATCGTTTTAAGCTGCGATTGTCTGTCGTCACATTTTTATCGTGACTTTTTATTTATAATCGAACGACTGTCGTTCTAGCTTTTCCTATTATCCTATTATCACGACAATCTGTTGTAACGTCAAAAAATCGTGAACAACAGTTAATCGTGTTGTTCTATGTATTAACTTCATTTAAATATACAAGTCACGACACTTTAAACTGCACGATTATCTGTAGTCACGACACAATGGGAACGCGCCCTCATTGTGACTGCAAAAGTGGCGCGCGTGTTACGACAGTGGCGCTGTAACTGCGTTTCTAAATATTGTATAAAAATTAATAATGGCACCAGCGCATTTATAAGCGTTAAGTTTGAAGGCCCCCCAAGAAAAACTAGTACCTATATAAAAAAGTAGTTTAAAACAATGAGAGATCAAGTGGATTCGGACATTACGGATAATTCCTACTATACTTACCATTACCTTTGCGCACATATGGCGTTAATATCACAATAACATTACGAATATCGTATGAAACAAAAGTAGAATGTTTTCACAAATGTACATATAAAATTTTAATATGTATAATGTAACGCTGTCGTCGGTCCATCAATTTCGTTTTATTATTTATTTTCCCGACACTCCAACGAGGACTATATTTCGGAGTGCATAATATCTGTAACTGTTGATATATCCACATGATGACGTCAACACCTGCCTGAAACTTTGGCAGGAGACACGGGAGCGAAATAATTGACTCTCCACCGATTTCAACTTTGTTAGTCTGGAGTGTACCGCGTTACGTGGTTGCACGTTCTACGTACGGAATGGACTTTAGCCTTCCATTTTGAAATTGAAACTCTTTTGTTTTTCTAGTGGTCACTGTTTTGGAAGAATCTAAATTTGAATTTTGTGTGATCTTGTGTTTGTGTTGTGCTGGGGGACTGGAGATTTTTTGTCACGTTTTTGATTGGTAAATTTTAAGGTAGAGTACGTAATACATGTTTTGGAGTAATAGCACAAAACTGATTTATGTCCGATTATCGATTACAAAAAAATAGTGAAATAACGGTCTTCAGGACCTCTGTCTATGACTGGAAATTTTCGAACACTACAAACAAACTAGACTCATTTTACGAGTCATTAAGAAAAATCAAAAAGTGTTTCAACAGGAATGCAAAAATAGAAGACAACAAACAAAACAATCAGTCGCTAGCTGGTTGGAAACGGAAATTAAAAAAACGCATACAAAAAAAAATCAGCTTTCGCATCATGACGTTCCAATAAACGTTGGAGTTGAGATATTTCGAGCGAACGCCAAGCATTCGATATTTTTAGAGAGGACAGACTTTTACAAAATAAACCGTGGAGTTACGATGATTTATAAGAGATCTTCAACTTGATCGTGTTCCATGGAAATTTATTTCATTACTATAAATAGCAGCCTAATTAGGTGAAAGGAAATTTTCTGCGATGTTAAAGAAATTATATTATTATAATTCTATGTAATATGTTCTAGAAATGAAACGAAGGAGTGGACAAAAGAAAAGCTGGCAGAACTCTTCCTTTAGCTACGCTAGCCACTAGGTGTTCCGTTTATATTTATTTTATTAATTAAATATATAATAATAATAATAATAACGCACACACTCAACATAGCCCCGCACTAGGGAAACCCTGTGTCGCGGGTGCCATGGACACACATAGACAACCACAAATTACACCCAAACTCACGAGAGAAATAAATGTAGGCCATACAAATATTTCTCCCGGCCCGGGAATCGAACCTGGGACCTCTGCGTGGCAGTCCGGCATGGTAACCGTTCGGCCACAGAGGCAGTTATACCTATACATTATACATTATATACCTATACATTCAAAATATTTAAATCTGACTTTGCCGACCGATATTTGAAAGAATATTATTGTTATAAACAAATAGTAGCTCTTAACTTTGAACGTTTCAGTTAAAACTACACTGAAACTGTGTTGTTTAACAAGGAACCGTTGTAAATAGCGAAGGTCGGCCATCTTGGCAGCGGCCATGTTTATTTACGTCGAATGCCATCAGAATGCACCCGCGCAGGGCCGTAGCACGTGTTTCCATCAGTTTTCATAGTATAAGGTCATTCGAGGTAATTACAAAGATTTATTGACTATTATGCAATGTCGTAGCACGTCTCAAACATAAAAAACATCTAGGATAGCTTAGTCCCTCTTGAAATATTTATATTGACGACCTCGGTGACCCAAGGGCTTACATTCTTGGCGCTGGATGAGGTGCTACCGGGGTCAACTCTCGGAAGGATTCATTTGGTAAATGTTACGTTGCTAGTGCACTCATTGTACAGGAATTCCCTAATTAGAATACCTGGTTTTCTTGGTTGGTTTCGTGGTGTGATCATCTGGCACGTTATCAATATTATAACATTGTAGATTTATTTTATCATCTATTTTGTCGTATTTTCAAAGATATGTAACATCATTATTTAAAAAATTACATTACTTAAATTACTTTGGTATATGTTTTAGTTATTGAGTATATAACCAGAAATAGAGACAAAATAGGGGTTATCCATCCCTGGCAACTCATCGGGCAAATGGGTCTTATATCACTTTTAAATATCATTTAAATATCTCGTTTGCGCTGAAATCACAAATTAGAAAGCTGAAATAGCACAGCGCTAACAACTGACCTGTGATTACGTCTCCGTATATTCCAAAAATATTCTGTATTTATTGTATAAAGATAATATAGCTAACAATGGGGGGCTGTTCCATCCGGTAGTGTGGGAAAAACAGCAAAACATTCTAATTACAAAATAAATGGAATCACATTTCATCGGTAATTAAATATTAAATATGTAACTTTGCAATTTTCGTCCATTATAGCAAAGCTCAAATTAAAGTGGTCGTGTTGAAGTGAAACAATTGACGATACCCGTCAATTGTTTCGAATTCGGGCTGGCCAATCGGAGCGCAGTTGTCACCATAAATGGTTATAGTTTTCAAACAAATTAAATGACATTTCATCTCTATTTCTGATTATATACTGGTTTTAGTACTTAAGGGTACTAGGATAGGTATGTAATATTTATGCGGAGAATTCAATGCTAAAACTACACGGTCACTACGTCATTTGTGTTTTAATTCATTACAATAAAAATCAGTTTCATTCTAATTCAGAAATAATAATACAAAAATAAATACTATACCTCTACACAAAGTTATATTGATCAGATACCGACATTTACTACACACTTAAGTTTCCTTGAAACCTTATGTATATTTTAAAATGGAGAAAACTTGTTCGATGCTTAATTATATACAATAATATAAGCATTATTCTACTTTTTCCTCTTTATAACATTTATTTACATCTATTATGATGTAAAAATTTAAATTGAAATGAGATGTAAAAATTTGGCAAACATAATAAACATTGGAAGAGACCAGACATTAATAACACTATTTTTTTAACTTGACGTACTTACCCTTAATTCTACACTAAAACAAATGGTGGTTAAGCATACTGGAAAATTAATTTATTTTATTTATAGCTACCTTGAAGAAACAATCCACCGTCAGAGACAAAGCAGAAAACGGTGTATCGGAAACCGTTGAAGAAAATCTCGTAAAGCCTTCAGCAGCGAAGCTTGCAGATAAGTCTAAAATAGGCGAAGAACGAACGTCCAAGTTTGCAAAATCAGCTTTAAAATCTATAGACAAGATTCCAAAGTTAGAAGACAAGCTAGGTCTTAACGACAAAAAGGATACAACACCAACAAACAGCACGAATAATAAAAATAACGAAAAAGTGCCAGAAAAACCAACACTAAAAAGTGTAAGGACAATCGATGCTGACAAAGGAAAAGAAAAATCTGTTACAATAGTTGATAAAAGAGGCGCTGAGAAGAACGGAACAACGCCAACTAGTAAAGTTGTTAATGACAAACCATTAAATAAGATCAATGCAAATGACAAAGCAAATGAAAAACCAGTAACCAAAATAAATACTGTTGCTAATGAAAAACTATTGAACAAAGCCAACCAAAAACCACTTTCCAAAAATAATACCGTTGCTAATGAAACGCCATTAAATAAAAAAAATAATACCGTTGAAAAGTCTATAAACAAAACCCCAACAAATGATAAAACTGACAGAAATAATACAGTGAACGAGAAACCAAATAACAAAACCATCATCGACAAAGTTTCAAAAACAACTGTAAATGATAAATCGCTTAATGATAAGTCTGTTAATAACTTTGCAAGTAAAGATTCTAAGATAGATGTTAAACCAAACTTAAAAACAACTGAAAAGGTGAAAGTAGAGCCTAAAACAGAAGGTAAATTAGAAGACAAAAAAGACAAAACAGAAATGGCAACCAAACCACCACTAGAAAAGGGCCCTTCCAAGGTGAGTACAGACTTAATTCATGTGTCTCTAAGTATATATTGTTGAATGGTATTGTACTTTAAAGTAGGTACGATTACTGAAAATTATGACGATATAACAAAGCTCTTGATGTGCATATAGGCAAAATCTAAATGCAAATAAACTTTGTGTTAACTGTAGTTCGTCGGCACAATTATTTTAATGTGAATTGCCAACTCCATAAATATACGAAATGTGACATAGGTTTTAAAACTTTTATGTTTGCAGCTCCCACCACGAAAACCATCACTTCAGAAGCAACCTTCAAAGGATGATGTTCCAGTAAAGAAATGGAGGGATCCACTACACGAGCGTGTTAAAAACAATATTGATAAGACGCTGTCCGATGAAATTCCTAAGGGGCACACTCTTACCAAGAATGAGAGTTTGAGAAGTGAGTATCGTGGTTTTAAAGTATTTTCTTTAACATTTAATTAGTATTTTTAAAATCATGAGGACAGAAAAGCGGATTTCTCATTTACTAGCAATTTGAGGTTTTAGTGCAGGAAATACCTGGGCATTTAGATATTTTTCTTGATTAGCGATATCCATCTTCAAAACTTTTCAATTATAAATTTTCAATATAATATAGTGCATTTCTTCCATCTTTAATGTACGTTATAACTTTAGATCCACATTGGAGAATCAATATCCTAGAATAGACGGCTATCCTAAATAGACTAGAACCATTATGTGACACAAAACATTGACACACTGATACTTACTATACTGATTTATAATTAGCATTCTGAGTGATTGCTTGTTCGATCGACGCAAGCGCACTAAATATATTTGACTCGATTTTGGCAATCACCATTGAGTTACACGAGATATTGTGCCGAAGATGACCCCATACAATAAATTACTTTGATCTCATGAAAAAAGGAGTACAGACTTTCATTGATTACTTCAGATTTAAAAAAACTAAAACCTTCTGTCAGTAACTTTTAAGATTAATTGAAAATAACCAGTATAGTGCATACTTTATTATTTTCTTGTTATTCAGAGGTATATACATATATCTGGTGTGTGCAAAATATATCTTTATTTTAAAACATTCCTCGTTACCTTTTGATCTCTTGTGCGCCAGACGATTTGTGGTCTAAGTGTGATCCAAAATAGTCACAGAGAAGTTCCGCGTGCGTCGCCTGCTCACATCAGGTGTGAATGCCGGAATGCTGCAGTTCAGATCAAAGTGACTGCAATTACGAATTATAACTTTATCCATATTTTAGGAGATATATTTTCCAGTGTTTATTGTTTAGTGAAATTTTAAAAATCTATATTTTGAATATTTATTGAATGTGTGTAGCATATCCTGTGATTCGTATAAGTGTCGTAAAGTGAGATTGTGATTATTAATAATGGCTGATCAAGAGGATGATCATGGTCATTTATTTAAAGGTATCGTTAATTTTGATAACACCCTTAATACTTGCATAATGTGAGTTTTATTCTAAAAGCTACAACGGCTTTGTAAAAACTTGACTTGACTTGTGCCATAACACGATATACATATATAGTTTTTTATATAATAAGTGTCCATAAGATTAATTAATAAAATAAAAATTATTAGGATTCTTTACACAAGAGTTAACCCTGATTGAGCACCGCAATCTAATATAATTTATTTTCCACCCAGGCTTATTGAAGCCAGTACCGCCGCCCATGCCTCCACCGTTGCCGCCGAAGATGCCACCACCACCGGAATTCAAAAAAGCCCCAATTGACCCCCAAAAACTGAAGAAAATAGAGTCACTTCGCAGCAGACCCAGGAAACGACCAGATTGGAGCGACATGATGAAGGAAGTGGAACAGGGAAAGAAGTTGAAACATGTTGTTACTAATGATAGGTATGTATGTTAACTTTAATGAGAAAATTAATGGGCCCGCTAGTCTTCACTAATGTTGAATGATGTACATTCTATAATATCATGTTAAATATGCAATAGAAGAATAATGATACAATAAAGAAATATAACGAAACATCTGTAAAAGTGACTGTAACAATATTTAGTTTTTAATTCGTTGACGGGTGAAGACCCCTAATAAATAAATATATTGAAAAATAACAATAAACACTCAATTTGTCAAAAAGTAGGAACGAACTTCAAAGTAACCGAAAGATGACCTCATACTCCACATAATGTTTATTGAGCGAAATTTCAGCAGTCTTCCAATTTTATTGTTCGTAAAAAAGTAACGATTGCCAACTAGTGCCAAACACGCCTCGACATAGCGTTCTTGTGTCGAGCTTTATTTTAATTTAATAATTTAATTTACTAAAAATAAACACAGCTGTATAAAATGGAGCTACATATTCCAAAACCGCCTCCACCTCCGCCCTCAACTCCGTATGTATTTCAAGTAATAAACTTTCTAACATTTTTATAAAAAAGATTTTCCAATACATTATTTTCTCCAATATTTTCAGATCCAGTCCAATCATTACCAGAAACACAGTCGTTAAGAACAAGGACCAATTCATTTTCGAGTCAGAGAAGCCCAATTCTCACAATGACCTGCTGAAAGAAATTTCTAAAGGCATCAAGCTAAAGAAGACAAAAACTAATGATAGGAGTAAACCCAACTTGGAAGGTTTGAGGAAATTCAGAAGACAAATGACGATTGAAGAACAGGTCCAAAAGTCAATGTCACAGGCCAATTTAGCCGCATCGCCTTCAGGAGTCAATTTGGCAGAGGTATGTTCGCCAAAAAAACAACCTAGCACAAACCACCCAAAAACATCCTAAATAACAAAACAGTACAACTATGGGACAACTGAAAGTTTCGACTCGTTTAGAAGATTCGTTCAAGACTTGAACAAGCTTTTTAAATAACATTTTGTAAATGATGTCAATGCAGACAAAAATCAATACAATTTATTTATTATGGATATAAAAATCTTTCTAAAACTTTAATCTAACATCTGAGAAAAACGTATTAAAAAATATATACTTATTAATTATAAATTAATTACAGGTCCCTCCACCTACAGAAGAAGAAGAAATTGATGAAATGGATGATATTGACAAAGTAAGAGATGATCTTCAGTCTACGAAACAACTTCTAGCTATTGAACTTAGGTATGATATTAAATACGTGCAATAATACTTTATTCTACTTCATACGAACCGTATCGTCAATATGGTCTCAATTAATATAAGTCCCTCGAAAACGCCCTTACCTGTCCTGATTCTTTTATATTTCTCTCTTTGTATACTCTACATCTACCTAAAAATCACCATGTTATCACTTATGCCTAAACCTACTCGGGAATATTCTACAATTACTTCCGCAGGCCCATGCCTCTTAGCATCCTTTGGCATTTCTGTCTTCGAGCCCTATGCTTTTCGTCTTTTCTTAATATTACAATTTCTTCACACCGTCATCTTTTCATCTCTTCTTTTCCCTTTTTTTATATATGTGTAGTTTTATTTAATGTACAACTATAATACATTTTTCCTTTTAGTTTCACATATTACCCTTCTTAGGTTTTTCCTGGTATTTGTGTCGCTTTGCGACAGAGTCGTCACAGAATAATGGATTTTAAGAAGCCCTAGAAAGTAAATGAATAAGCTTTATAATGATGCAGGTACACAATACAAGGTACACAAGCAGTCAGTTTTTAATTCCGCATATATGTTCTAATTACAGAAACAAGGAAGCTCAAGAAAGAGAAAATAAACGTTTGTTAACTAGAATACAGAACTTAGAAGCAGAGTTAGCTAGAGAAAGAGCTATTATCAAACAAGAGCAACATAAGACTGTTATATCGGTAACAGATGCATATGATGAGAGACTGGTCAATAACCTTAAGATGGAAGTTGAAAAGACGAAGGAAAACGCTGATAGTTTGGAGAAACAGTACTTGGATGCTGCCGAACAAAGAGACGCAGCTTTGACTGAATTAGAGGAAGTTAAAAGGAAGAACGCTGAGTTGGAGAAAAAATTGGAACAGGCACTAGCGGTAAGTAAATTGCGGGAAAGAACACTAAACAGTAGAATTATTAAATTACTAAAACAATAAAAGCACTACTGGTTTTAGGTATAATATTCATTTTACTAAAAAACAATAGGTACGGTACACTTATCTTACAATGCAATTAAACAATGCATTAATAATTGGTAAATTCTACTCTTAAAAGTATCAAATTAAAAAGGCTCTTCGTTTAATTCTGAGACGTAACCAGGACGGTTCTTCTTTTAGTTATACGACTGACGACTGTACCATAACAATAAGAAAGTGTTTATGGAGATCTACGATGAAATATAAGGACCGCAACTAACACATCTAATGCTTGGCTAACTTTCCAGAACAATATGGAGGAACTAGCGTTAAACGAAGAACCATTATCATTCTACCAGAAACGCCAGCTCGATTTCGAGAAGCAGTGTAGGTTCCTGAACATAGACGTTAATTCTGATGAAGCTCATAGCTTGCGGAAGAGCGCTGCTACTAACAATCTTGCTTCTAATGCTTTTGCTAATGCTGATCATGAGGTAACATTCTATTATTTAAAATCATTAATCACGATCAACTGTAGGTACAATCAATCAACCCGAACACATAATTAATCCATTAGTACGTCTTAAGGCGACTATAGCTGGCCATACGTTAGAAATCATATATGTGAGAGTCAACAAAAATATAGAATATACAATACCGGTGGTTTATAAAAAAATACCGATAGTGCTCTGCGCTCACACTCTATATCCATAATCATCTTTGAGGTCGTCGGCAAAATAGTGTCCTAACTATTCCAAATGGCTAACCCATAATAGAGATTCATTAAATAACACCAGAAGAGTATTTGTACGATTCTTCTTACTCTCTAAAGAACATATTCTCGGACTTTTTGACATCATGTACTAGAACATGAGAAGTTACATACCCACATACCTTAATAGTTTTTTTTCGTGCACTGATCGATGGAGCCAGCTAATATAATTAAATAAGATATACTTGTATATAACGCAAATGCAAAACAACTTTTCATGACAGAAGCAGATTCTACGAGCGAATTAGTCAAAAACTTATTTATGCTTAAATAAGAGAGTTATAAAATTTCACACATAATTTTGTTTAATGTAGTTCGTATTATTTTTATGACTTTTCATTGATAAAAGCACTTTTGACGTATAATCACAATATGTGGCTTTATTACATCGAGTATATAACCAGAAATAGAGACGAAATATCATTTAATTTGTTTGAAAACTATTCTGCCATATCATTACTGTGACAACTGACTCTGATTGGCTAGACCGAGTTCGAAACAATTGACGAGTGTCGTCAATGGGTGTCGTCAACTGTTTTACTTCAAATCGACCAGTTAACTTGAGCTTTGCTATAATGGACGAAAATTACAAAATTACATATTTAATATTTAATTACCGATGAAATGTGATTCCGTTTGTTTTGTAATTAGATGTTTTGCTGTTTTTCCCACACCACCGAATAGTACAGCATGGCATTGTTAGAGATACTATCTTTATTACAATAAATACAGAATATTTATTGGAATATACGGAGACGTACACACAGGTCATTAGTTGGCCTGTCTATATTTCAGTGCAAACGAGAGTTGATATTTATAAGAGCTCTATCGCTAATGTGTTACCAGGAATATATGGTCCTTATTTCGTCTCTATTTTTGGTTATATACTCGACGCTTTATTATAAGAAGGATTAGCGCTTTTGCGCATTGCATCCAATTCGTTCCGAAACCAAGTCATGACCGAATGCATGAACCGAATACATGGTATTTGTATTTTCTCGGATTGGAATCGGACTTAGTGCACAAGCGACATCCGAAGTGGGTCCGAGTTTTCTAGATTTGTATAGTCTAGGCGAATGCAACAAATAAGAATCGGATACAGTGCGCAAAAATAGCAACAGTGCCGGACATCGTAACTTTTTTATCAACGTTCGTTACAACGTTAATCATTACATATTAATTTAAGATTTTTATCGTTTAAATATTGTAATCATTCTGTACAAAATAGATTTTATTTATCATTCAATTGATGATAAAAGTATATGCAAAATCCATAAATAAATACGTAGTTATTGTTTTTTTTTTAACCGATTTCAAAAAAAAGGAAGAGGTTCTCAATTAAATTGTATATTTTTGTGTTTCCGACGCATGAGAACCGATTTCAATTATTCCTTTTTGTTGAAAAGTGGGCACCTCAGTAGTGGTCTGATTCAAAATTGAAGAGAAACCAAAATAAGTGATGAATCCGGTTTATTGGAATTCACCCACTTTCCGTTATCCGATTTCCATAAAACTTGGCAAATAGATGTAATACCCCAAAGTTTTGAGGTCGGTTTTTTTATAAAAAAGTAATTATATATTATAATGCATTTCATTTACCACAAAAACTACAACTGCTTTATTGGCAATTTCGGTGGGCTTGCGGTAAACATAGATGAGGAATTCCCAGTTCCGATTCTCGGTAGAACCAGTCGGAGATACGAACTTTTAGTATGAGTGTTTGTTTGTTTTGTGTGAACATATTTGCGTTGATAAAGTACTCATATGACCAGACAATTGCAGAGATTGCCTGCCACATAAAAAAAAAAACATTTTTGTAAGGTTATCGATAAATATACAAGAGGTATTATTAGATTTAGTAGCAGTTGTGAAAAAGTTCATCCACGGAACTAATACCACCTTACCTATTCTACCGCCAAGCAATAATGCGAGCACTACAACATTCCGGTGTTGGTGAAATTACAGGCACATGGAACTTGTCAACTTTTTTTTAATAATATCAAGTGACGGGACGAACAAGTTATGCGCTTGATGGTAAGCTACACAGCCTGTCCATAACAGTTGCTGTGCCACTCAGAGCTTTAAATCGCAAAGATCTGAGGGGCACTGCCACTGCGCCGGTCACCATGAGACGTAAGTTGACAAGTCACATGACGTGCCTATAATTTCACCAACACCCCTGTCCTTTAAAACCGGAACACAGTAATGCTGGTATTACAGCTTGGCGACAGAAACAGGTAAGGTGGCAGTACTTCCCTGGACGAACTCTTTCACAGGGAGCTCTACTGCTACTAAATCTACTAAAACTTTGCCATTTAAAGCAATGAGTGACACTACAACTGTCATGATAGGCGTGTCGATTACTGCCAAGCGTTCGACCTATTCATCCCGTCGCTTGATATCATTAAAAAATATGACAATTTCATGAAAAAGAATGAAGAAGTTTTGACCACAACTAGGCTATTAATCAGTGAACACAAGGATCAATCGTGACTCTTGTCATTTAAACATTGCCCAAGAACCAATAAAGATTCTTTTTTAAGTGCCGCCGTCGTGGTTGTTGTAGTAGGTAGACGTTGCATCCTACCATGGTAGCCAGAGATGTAATTTTTTGCCCTTATTAAGAAGAGTTGAAATGTTTCAGGGCATAATGCCAACCATTGCTGGATCGAGACGATCAAGTCACGCTATCAGACAACTCTCCGTTACCAAAGATGACAGCTTCGAAGAGGAGTCGCTTTCAGAGGAAGAAGAGGTATATTTTACCTAGTATCTAAAAATAAAATAAAAATCATAATAAGAATTTTATTAACAAATTACACTTTGTAACAAATTTTTAAAAGGTTGGTTTTAAGTGTTCTTTATTCAATGTCAGAATGTTTCACCACTATGTTATTCAATTATTTTTTGTGAAATTACTCCACTAGTTTGTTCTTATTATTAATACAAAGATCAAACACTTAGGAAAAATCCTTCGATCCGGCCAGATTCGAACCGACGTCTTCTAGCAAACCGTGCCAGACGCTATGCCAACTAAGCCACGGAACGAACCAGCGGACCTCATGAATTTCTCTAGGTGTTTGTCGGGCGTAGCGCCATCTATGAGAAATCTATGAAAGTATTTCGTCATGAAAGCATTTAGCCGACCGGATCGCAGGATTTTTTTCTAAGTGTTCTTCAAGTTCAAGTCAAAGGGTCGTATTCTAGAACTCTACTCAATGCTCAAGTCAGGATTGCACTGGAAACACAAGCACTGGCTTATTATTATATTATATATTATTATACGGCCCTAATGGCAGGAACTTGAGTGTGATTTCGAGTACTTTAAACCATACTCAAATCCTGACTTGAGCATTGAGTAGAGTTGTAGAATATGACCCTAAGTGTATCTTTCTAGTAATAATTATAAGGTTGGTTGTAGTTTGACAGTATTGGTTTATATTTAATTGAACAGAAAATTGGTAGAAAAGAGTACTAGTTTGAAAATTTGGTGTTTCGTGGCTGTCACCGTGGTATTTACTAGGATACATAGTGATGTTTACATAATCTCTTTGCCATAAATTTGTTGAATTTTGGTTGAAATATAGATACTTATTGATTTGAAATATAATGTTCCCTTTTTGTCTAAATAAATAGACACTCGAAAATATATTTATTTATATTTATTATATTAGGCAAAGGTTGTTCAAAAATGTCTCATTAGAAATCACTAGCGGCGACGAATACCAAAAGCCAGTACAAAGATCTATAACAAAAACACATAGGAGACTTTCGACGACTCGGTAACTGAATCCGTAGCTCAGATGGTTAGAGCAATGCTACGGTGCAGCATGTTCAAGTACCACAGGGTCGACAAAATTTCTCTGTGTGTTCGATCTTTGTGTTCATAACCATAACAAAACTAGTTGGAGTTATTTCATAAAAAAATCTCAATAAATCGAGTTCTCAGGTTTACGCGATTGTTACACATAGGAAATGAAACTATTTTTCCGGATTTAAATCGCGTATATTTGTTTTTCCAAACAAACCGACGTTTCGGGCCCTTTACAGATCCCATGGTCACGGTTGACTGAGTTGGTACACTCTTCAACCAGTTATGTCTATATATGCGAAGTATTTGTACCCGCGTCAAAGAACATATAGCTGATGTCAAACACCGTCGCGTAAACAAGTCGTCTGCAGTCTGCGAGCATGTCACGGATAAACCTACACATTCAATGAAGTTTGACAAACCCCAGGTCCTTGCAAAAGAAGTCCGTTATCTACCCAGGATGCTGCGAGAGGCCATTGAAATTAAAAAACATCCTAATTTCAACAGGGAATATGGTTTCTCCCTACCACCAGTTTGGGATCCAGTATTTCCTCTAATGAAAAATCCCAAACACGTCGAAAAATCACAAATAAGACTTAAGACTGCAGTACTAATTAATATGTTTTAGTTTATTCTAATTTCTATTAATAATTAATAATAAATTAAACTTAATAAAAATTCATGTATAAATAATTTGTAAAACTTAATGTAGCGTAAATTGGAATGTTTTCTTTGTAAAATAAAAAATAAGGTATTTATTCAATTAATAACTATTGTAACTATAGCGAAAAAATAGGGTGGTTTGCATTAATATTAGACATAACTGGTTGAAGACTGTACCACCTCAGTCGACCGTGACCATGGGACCTGTAAAAGGCCTGAAACGTCGGTTTGTTTGAAAAAACAAATATACGCGATTTAAATCCGGAAAAATAGTTTCATTTCCAATCTCAATAAATATTTATTTTTTGCTATAGCGCGCAAATTTCAACTTTTCAATGTCCTGACCACAAAAATAAAGTTTTTACATGAAAATGAAATTTTTTCTTGTTTTCATTTTGGAACTAATTAGAAATAATAGATTGTACAAGTGCATAAAATGCGTCATCTTACCCGAGACGAGTATGTGTGGGTACATTATAGGTGGATACTTAAGTTGAGGGTAAAATGAGTTTTATAAACGAGTTATACACTCTGCTTTTCACTTCGATTGCGAGGAAATTAAACAGCAATATTACAAATAACACAGCTCTTGCCAAGAGAAAATAAGAACTTCCAGCCAATGTACTACCTTTTTTTCTACACATGACTCACGTCGGACTACATAATGATCAGTATCATATTTTACAAGCTTTTATTTTTTACGCATTTCTATTTCTTATAACTTATTAGAATTACTATTGCCTACTTTTTTAATTTTGTAACATAACACGGATTAAAAAAAGAAAAGTAAAACTTTATTTTACAAAGTTCTAGTGTGCGTGGCTGTTGGCGCAGGCGTCATTGCCTCGGTCTTAAACGACAATTTTATTCTATGCCCTAGAGCATAAAATCCTATTTTATGCAGCCTACACCCAGCATAAATACGAACTTTAAGAGCATGAGAAACGAAAATGATATTAATAACTCAGATACAAAAATTGTGTTACATGGTCTCATCAACGTGTACCGTTGACTTCATAAGTAGTAGTAAATAATGTATTTCATATTTCATATTTCATATTTCATATTTATTTATTGCATTTCTACATGTATCATGTATCTTGGATTTTGGAATGTTCCTTGTGAACATGAAAGTTACTCTAGTTTTAACAAGTAAGTAAAGCATGAAACAAATCAAACATACCTCAGATGACAGTAATTTTTGCCTGCGTGGCATATGTTTTTTTATCGCACACACTCATAGCCCCGCACTAGGGAAACCATGTATCGCGGATGCCATGGACACACACATAGACAACCACAAATTACACCCAAACTCACGAAAGAGAATCGAACCTGGGGCCTCTGCGTGCCAGCATGGCAACCGTTCGATCACGGAGGCAGTTAGTAGTAGTAGTAGTAAGTAGGTACTTATTGATTTCTTTATTGCCGTCTATCAAAGCATCAGGGTGATTATTTGTGTATTACAGGAGGAAAGTGAAGAAAAGAAGCAAAAACGAATGGAAAAGGAAGTACGAAATATGAAAAACAAGATACGACACCTGAAAGAGAAACAAGACCAAATGAAGAGAGAACGAATGGGTTACAAGATGGCGCTAAAGAATCAACAAGCTGCGCTCAAGTCAGTTGCGTTTCTTGGCCTAATATTAGTTGTAAAAAAGGCCATTGATTATCGACACGTAGCTATTAACTTCTTTGTATCTTTAAAGACTTAAAAGATAAACAACCGAAACAAATTATTAACAAATCTATTAACATTAATCTAAATATTAGTGTCATTCACAATATAAATAAGCTTTATCGAAATAATAAATCAATTTCATAACAACTCGACAACCACTTTTTAATTTTTTTTTAGAACTTTCGCATTGTCTTTTTTCTGCTCTCTACCCTTGTGCACTATCTTCACTAAGTTTCCGAGTAACAAATAAATGTTTTATATTTTGGACATTGTCATTCATTTTTTTCAAGGAGTTAAGTATATATTACAAAACCTAACTATCTATGCTTAGTCCAACCTTGCCAATTGAATTTCTGTTTCATATTTTGCTACGTCCTACATCGCTCTACAAATACTTAGCGACATTACCATGTGACATCGTTACTACACACGAAAGGATCTAATTCAAACAGGATGTAATCGTTAAGTGCACCCAGACGATTATTTCGTAAATATAAGAGATATCAAAAACGTTTAAATTAACATCGAAAGTACGTTACCCAATAAGGACAACGACATCAATAGTTAATAGTTGATAATTGTAGCAATTTTATATATACACAGCATACATATACTTATTAACTATACAAAGTTTCACACACACTAACACAATATACACACTCATTCACACACACACACATACACACACACACACACACACACACACACACACACACGCACGCACGCACGCACGCACGCACGCACGCACACATAACATTTTGTTCTACTCTCTTAGTTTTACCTCCTCAGAGCATAGATTTGTATTATCTAAAATTTCACTTTTATTTTTATTTTGCTTTCATTTTGTTTTCACCTGTAATTAATCATAGCTATTAAGTCTCAGGTCCAGGTCTCTACCCCCAGGTAAACCTGGGGGTAGAGACCTGGTTAGCTGAGATACAGATTTTCCTAGTTCGAGACGAGCGTCCACAACCAGATTATGTTTTGATGTTACATAAAGAATCTATTTTTATTTTTACAAGCACTGTTTGTGGAGACAACAAATTATTTATTTATTTATTTATTTATTTAAATAACATTTCTAAATAAAACTATAAATATCTAAAATTTTAACATTACGAACAACAGCTTGGAATACAAAATTTGTACGTATTTAAAAATATACATCACTTTGTTTTAGTTCAATTAAAAGATAGTTTTATATCTATAACTTATTGTTATCTCTAAAGTAGGTCAACTAAGCCTCTCTCCGAATTGCATATTAAATGTATGAGAGCGATGAAAGCCAAAACTTTGGATACCTACCAATTTCTAGTTTTATTTTGAAAAGTTATTGACGTTTTACTCATATGTGACGTACTTTCGACGTCAGTTTAAAAGTTTTGATATCTCTTTTATTTACGGAATAATCATCTAGGCACATTTAACGATTACACCTGTATATCAGATCACATGGTCAGAGCGTACAACTTTAACGCCACTCGTATACATTAACGATTAACTTTAAATACGAGTATGCGTGCCTAAATAGATTTTAGAAATAATTATTGTATTCGAAATTACACAGCGAGTTACTGACTGGCTTTAAAGTTAAACGGTTAGACCTCTTTTGTCGGCTGTCAAAAACGTCTGTCGGACTGCACGCTATTCACGCGATCTATAGCTTGGTGGATTCTGCTAGATTCTGTAGCCACCATATCAGTGAACTAAACGAATCTTTTTCAGAGACGAGAAACGGAAATACAAAGAGCTAAAACGCGAGGTTGACAAGATGGCGGCAATGATGAAGGAAGTTGGTTCAGATGATGAAGACGAAGATGAAGAAGAGGAGTCTGAGGAATCAAAGAAGAGTGAAAGCGAAGAAGAAGAAACCGAGACCGAGACAGAACAGGACACTGAGAGCGAGACCGAGAGTGAGAGTGAGCCGGAAGTAAGTGTGTTTATGAAACATAACAAACCAATATAGGTACTTACTTCACAATAGATTAAGTAGCTATTAAATACACTCCCGGACACATAATTCGAGCCACCTCGCAGCAGTATTAAATGCCCTAAGCTTAAACAATGTTCGATTGATTAAGAACTATCCTAGGCAATTTTGAAACTAGTACATTGAAAGTCTTTTCCATAAGTCCTTGTTGTAAATTTGAACTTGCAAAACCGGAGGAAACCGTTTTCTTCGATGATAACATTATTTTTATATTCTAGCCCTTTAAGGCAAAAACGCGAGGTGGCTCGAATTATGTGACCGGGAGTATATATAAAAAGCAACTATTACACCGAAAAATGTTTGACCTTTGCTTAATAACTTTCTGCAAAGAAAAAATTCTTCGAAACAAATCAAATTTCTCAACGTATCTTATGCACTGAAATTCTAGAAACCCAAGAATAAATAGATTCAATACGTAGAAAACTGAGATAAATAAATCAAATATTGAAATAAAATGAGATGTAGGTACAATATAAATGACCAGGAGTAATAATTGTGTTGCTGATCATCAACCAATATACAACGAGTTGTAAATTCTTCTATCGTTCCGACGGCTAGGTATTTACTTATTTTTTATCTGCCCTACTCCACCAACTCAATGGCATTATCTGTGGCGTTCTTAAACACCTGGCAATTGCAGTTTGGCTGGGCATGTTATGGGCAGGGGTAAGATACCTATTCTGCCCTCCTTGTCATAATTAACGTAGTCGACATTTTTAGCCAAATTGAGTTATTAACGTCCAAATATGTTAATAACTCAATTCACAACCCCCTGTAGGCGCTTTTTTAAAATCTCATTTAGTTTCAGTTTTCTTGTTAAGCAAAATTAGAGTAACAGAATTTTTTTTAGTTGACAATAAAATTGGTGCCAATATTTCGAAAATTACCAAAAGGCAAATGCGTTAGTTAAAGAGTCTATACAACCTCAAATGGCTTTGGTTGATTCCGTATAACAGTGAAAGTATTATTCAACCACTTTGGAAAAAATATATTGAGGATATACTCGTACACTGATTACTGTACGGTGTGAAAACACGCTTCCTAAAAATTTTCACGTTAGAAAAGAACACAAACTTACCTTGAAATTTTACATAAAAACCGCTGTATTCAATAGGTACTTTACATATAAGTACTAATATATTTTTCTATCAACCGAATTAAATAAAATATAGGTATATATTAGGGGTTAAAGTATGAAATTGCCGTTTTATTGCAATAGGTTCTTTGAATTTTCATAGAATCTTCATGGTTTGAGGTTTTCGAATGAAACTTTTTTCAAATGGTTTCTGTGATTTTTTTTTTTAAATTTGAAACATTTGAATATCGACTTTCAATTGTTTTTGTTATTCAATTTAGACAAGAAAGATGGATACTGCGAAAATTCGAGTGATTTTTGAATACGAGTTCCGACGCGGAACTAACGCGGCAGAAACAGCCCGCAATATCAATGCTGCGTTTGGAGAGGGGTCTACTAATGAACGCACCGTGCGATTTTGGTTTAAACGCTTTCGTGATGGAAATTTCGACTTAAAGAACGAGCCACGAGGAAGACCGCCCACACAGGTGAATAACGATGAATTAAGAGAGATAGTGGAAGCCGATCCTAGTCAAACTACCCAGGAATTAGCGGCATGGTTTAACGTTACCTTACCCACAATATTGACTCACTTGCGTCGAATCAATAAAATAAAAAAATACCAAAAATGGGTGCCTCATGATTTGACTGATCTGCAGAAAGAAACGCGTGTTGAAACTTGTGTTGCCTTGTTGAACCAGTACAGAAATGAAGGAATATTGGATCGAATTGTAACATGTGATGAAAAGTGGATTCTTTATGATAACAGGAAAAGAAAAATGCAATGGCTGACCCCAGGTCAAATGCCACAACAGTGTCCTAAAGCAAAACTTACCAATAAAAAGGTAATGGTAACTGTTTGGTGGTCTCAGCATGGTGTTATTCACTATAGTTTTCTCCGATCTGGTCAAGCAATAACGGCAGATGTCTATTGTGCCGAACTCCGAACCATGTTGACAAGACTAGCAGTAAAACAGCCCCGACTCATGAATCGATCTTCACCATTATTGCTCCACGACAACGCGAGACCTCACACAGCACGAGAAACCATTTTGACCCTTCAGGAACTGCGGTTAGAAACCATTCGTCATCCTCCGTATTCACCAGACCTTGCTCCAACGGACTATCATTTTTTTCGTGATTTGGACAATTATCTACGTGACAAGAAGTTTTCTTCCCAGGAGGCAGTACAAAATGCTTTCACACAGTTTGTGCAGTCTAGATCGTCGGAGTTCTATCGCAAAGGCATTAATAACCTTCCCATTAGATGGCAGCAATGTATAGATAATAATGGCAACTATTTTGATTAAATAAATTAGTTAAAAATTTAAAAAATAAACAATTTAGATTTTCAGTACAAATCGGCAATTTCATACTTCAACCCCTATTACTATACGATATACATTTTTCAAATGTGAAAAAATAAATACTGATACAAAACTAGTGTCGTTCGACCCAAGCAAAATGAACCGTATTAGTACGGGAAAAATTTTAATTCGAGCTCCTCAGCTAGTATTGACTCTTAAGACAAAAAGGGCAGTATTAGGTGTGCCACAGTTTTAGGAGAAACTGTACTTACATTTATACCGGAGCTGCGGACGATGGGCACTGTACTGTCCCATGTCATCGCCTACACGTAAATCAATAAAAATAAATAAATATACAAATACATTCTTATGCTTAGTTCTAGGGTGTCAATCAGTGTAAGTTGGCGAAACCAATATTCATATCTACACTACTCACCGTTCTGATCAACTGAAAACTAGATCATGTAAAACTGCTCTACCTGAATAGAGTAATATTGTACCTACGAACGTCTACAATGAACTTCAACATGAAAATGCAATAATTGTGCAGAATTAAAAAAAATGTATTTAAGCAATTGAATGAATGATATTAACATTTTCAATATTGTAGACATTGAAGATTTCTTATAAAATTTTCATTTGACGTGTTCTGTTTTTTTTTTTAATTAGACACTTATTAAAGCTATTATTGTTGTATTTTATTACTGTTATTATGTAGGTATTACATAATTCATACTAAATAACACTTAAAAAGATATATCTATATATCGTAGAACATAATATGAGTCTTCGAATTGTAATTTCGGAAATTATTCTGAAAAATTTCTAATATTTTAAATTATTCGGAAAATAACCCAACTCTATTCTTGTAGCGCCTATATAACCTGAATATCGCAAAGAAATTAATTATTTGATTATAAAACCAATTCATTCCAGGACGCCCCAGTATCAAAGAAGAAAGAAAACCTAACAAAACGAATGAAGCGACACGAAACTAGAGTGAATGCTTTAAAGAAAGGCAACGCCCTTTTGATGGCCAACGTGGACCGATTGAAGGACGACGTGTTGAAGCAGAGAGAGGAATCACAGACGTTGAAGAAGGAATTGGACTCTTTGATAGAAGACTTGGAGTGATTTTTCGGTCGACATTTCGCTCATGAAACCAAATAATATCGTAACTCAAAATTATGGAATTGAGAAAAGACAATTTGAAAATTTATTAATAAAATTGAATGGATCTTATTGCGTGTAATGTGATTATTTTTATTTTTTTACATAATACTTAATTATCCCATTGTAAATGAGAATATGTACATTGGTGTAGCGAACTGTATTAATGGATTGGGGTGGGTGCTAGACTCATTATCATTTGGTAGACTCATTATTTGTTTGAATACTATTTTGCCAAAACACTTCTGACAAATCATTATTGTGACAACTGCGCTCCATTTGGCCAGCCCGAATTCGAAACAATTGACGGGTGTCGTCAATTGTTTCACTTCAAATCGACCAGATTAACTTGAGCTTTGCTATATAATGGACGAAAATTGCAAAATTACGTATTTAATTATCGATGACATATGATTCTGTTTGTTTTGTAATTAGACGTTTTGTTGTTTTGCCCACACCACCCAATGGTATAGCCTCCATTGTTAGAGGTAGGTATATTATCTTTATTACAACAAATACAGAATATTTTTGGAATATACAAAGATACACACAGGTTAGTTGCTGGTGCAGTAATATTTCAGAATTCTAATTTGTGATTTCAGCGCAAACGAAAGTTGATATTTAAAAGTGTATATATGTATACATATATACACTTTTAAATATCACATACACTTATATCTCTTCTAATATATATATAGAGATTTGTAGCGACTACTGCGTTTCGCTACATTTGTTTTCATACAGTATTTTTTTATTTATCAGATTTTTTTTTCAAATCGTGTTTTCTCAATTCCACAACAATTTTGAGTTACGATGGTATTTGATTTCGTGTGCGATTTCTCACCCTTGGTGTAATAAAGGCACATCTTCAAAATGACAACTATTCGGGAAAAAGGTTTTAAGATTCCACGAACGAATTTAGTCGATATCTTGTCGAAAAAAATCACATATACACATACCTACATAATTTGTTTTCTGCAGTTCGTTTTATATTAATGACTTTTATGTGATAAGAGCGCTTTTGATTTATGATTTACATGTGGCTTTATTACACTAAGGGTACGAAATTCTAGTTAGTACTTGCTAAGTATCCAGCTGGATAGTGTTATCATTAAGTACCTATATCACTATCTAATATTTATGTATTAAATAGTGATATCAAATCCATATCACTAAACACCTGGGTATTGTGATATACAAACGTAAGTCACGGACGAGTTCGTGTGCATCGGTACATCACTTTTTGATATTTATTACTAACCACCCGGGTGACAGATAACATGCATCTACGTATTCTTATCTAGTTGCTATAGCTATTCATGTAACAAGCATATGCTCAACTGATTGTCTTAAAATAAAAATAAATAACTTTTTGTATGTACGTACGTACTTACTATTAAGTACAGTCGATGACCTAAGATATCTATCTTCCTAACCGTGTATTTAGGTCCTGAGTAGAAGTATGAAGAAGTCAAGGTGATAATCAAACTTAACCTTTAACCACTGAGCTGTAAAATTGATTTTGATATAACTTCCTTATTGCATCATTACTGAATAACGTTTTGAGAAACATTTTAAACCAATTTGATTTTAATTACATTACATAAATACAAATTTCAACAAAAAAGCTGGAATTACTTTTCACTTTTCTGTTGAATGCGTAAAAAGACTCTCAGACCCAAAGGTCGGCTAAGGGGTCAGGTATGTTAGGGCACCGATTGTACAATACATGATTACAAATGCGACAGATGTAGTGTAATATTGGGCATTCTGGACCGCCTACCTCAGTCGACGATCACTTCAACGCTTAATACACTACCCGATTCCATGGGACTCTAACTTAGAGAGGTGTAATAAGAAAAATGGAGTAAAGGTCCCTAATTTGAGCGTCTTATATAAGTTAACAAGGGCCACGCCCACCCTTGCCGCAGGGCTCTTGGAATTGGTTGGTGTAATAAACGTTTTAGCGTTAGCACATAGATAACAACAAACGTAATAATTACCGTGTTAGATCGTATCATATCGTACGACGAATTCGACGAACGTAATATTGGGCGTTCTATACAACGTCTAAAAAGTTATCTACAAAGCCCAATATTACACTACAGACGTATATTTACTTAAAAAGTCTCTTTATTACAAAAAAGGTGAAATACTCGTATTAATTATTTATTTTAATTTAGGCTAAAGCGCAATTTAGTTAGGATAACAAATAAAATAACGTTTTATGTAATGATTGATTATTACACTTGTTGCGAAGCTTAATTAATTTATATAAAAAAACCTTATGAGATTTTTATCATGAGTTAGGTAAGTTAAAACCAATTGACGAAAAAAGCATTGATTTGTTCATCATATAACATAATAAGATGTGTGGATGTAAACATAATAAGAAACCGACGCTTTCGTAATAAATCATGCTTTATAAGTATTTAAAAAATAAATATGAAAACTTAAAAAAAAAAAACTACTGTTTAATTACTCTAAACTTGACCTACCAAACGTCACCTTAGACTATAATACATAGGACCTCTATATAAGATTCTTATTGAATATACAGGAAACAGTAGTTGCACTAATGTTTATATAGTATTGTGATTTGTAT